ACAAATATATGACAGGGAAAGAGCCTGCTTGGAAACGTCTTTCTCCCCAAAATCCTCCCAAACCCTACACCCCCTTTCCTGGGGAAGGCTTAATAAAAATCCTCACCAATTTGCATAGGTGAACACAGACCCAAACCCTTGGATCTTAAGAACAATGAAAAAGCAATCAGGTTCTTAAAAGAAGAATTTTAATTGAAGAAAAAAGTAAAAGAATCACCTCTGTAAAATCAGGAAGGTAAATACCTTGCAGGGTAATCAGATTCAAAACATAGCGAATCCCTCTAGGCAAAACCTTAAGTTAAAAAAAGACACAAAAACAGGAATATCCATTCCATTCAGCACAGCTTATTTTATCAGTCATTTAAACAAAACAGAATCTAACGCATATCTAGCTAGATTACTTACTAAGTTCTAAGACTCCATTCCTTTTCTGTTCCTGGCAAAAGCATCACACAGACAGACAGAGAGAGAGCCTTTGTTTCTCCCCCGCTCCAGCTTTGAAAGTATCTTGTCTCCTCATTGGTCATTTTGGTCAGGTGCCAGCGAGTTTCTTAACCCTTTACAGGTGAAAGGGTTTTTCCTCTGGCCAGGAGGGATTTTAAAGGTGTTTACCCTTCCCTTTATATTTATGACAGCATGTGTGTCTTCAGGGTCAGGTGATCACTGTCTTGCCCAACAATTAACACAGTTTTGTTTTGTTTTTTCCAAAGGAAGTTAGAGTTGGTCAGTGTTAGACTGAGAGGTTATAAAGCCAGAGGGAACCGCTATGATCATCTAGTGAGTCTGCCCCCTGTATAACACAGGCCATAGGACTTCCCTGAATTAATTCGTGTTTGAACTAAAGTGTTCATATTGTGTGGTTCTGGCTCCATATGTCACTGCCATATACATATTATAATGATCTATTAGTACAAGTAACTCGGGGTCACATGCCCCATCCCCAGTTTGCTGCTTGGCTTGTACTGAGCATGTTCACACAGACTGTGCATGCTCAGTAACACCGCTGGAGCTGGCTGCCCTCACTCTGCCCCCACACTATCGGGTTGTTTCTAGTTCGTATAAGATATTCTGCTCCCAATCTAGAGTTTTTAAAAGGTGACAGCTGATACTCAGCGTCGGCTGCTCTCAGGATGTTGGCACTTAGTTCTTGGTGGCTGCTTCATCTTACCAGTCCAGAAGAGGAAGGTTAACTTTCACAAGAGGAGATCAAAATCCTGATTTAAATGACCCAGGACCTCTGCTGACCTGTCTGGGGACAGGTTTATGTAGATAGATAATGATCACCTACAAGGAGAGCCCATGGATGGAGGTGCTTGATGCAGTGTAGTGAAAGCTGTAGGAGACCAGGGTGCGGATTTGGAGTATACTAGTATGGAGATGGTCAGCAGTGCACTGAAGAAGACAGCTAAAGATTCAGAGACCAGAGAGAAGAGGAGGTTTGACTCAAGAGGAGAGACACCTGCTCTAGCGCAGGCTGCAGGAGGCCTTCCATTGTGATAAGGGGCCTGGACACCAGCCTCATGAGCCAGTGCTCCCTCGGTGAGTATGCAGGGTATTTGCATTCCCAGTCGTTAATCCCCACTATGAGGCAGCTTTGCTTTTTGCACAAAGAGAAGGAGGTATATTTCCCTGTGACTAGCGTCCGTGCAGCATATAGCTGAAACCTCTGTTTGAATATGTATGGAGTTTGTCCATTTTTCTTACCCAGAAATGGCTGGACAGGAGCAGCCTCCTGAGTAATAGTTGATTGCAGCCAGCCAGGACCTGCAGCGGCAACGGCAAACTATCCCCGGAGAGGAAATAGACAGTGGAGGATGAGGGAGAAGACATTTGGGTGAGGAATAGCACAGTCGGGCCCTGACTTCAGCCTGACAAGCTTCTGCTGGACTAGAATCCCTGCTTCCTGAGGAAATGACCATGGCCCCTCCCCAGGTGACACAACACCCCTCCCACAGTACCTGCCAAGAGGGGCACCTGGACCCAAGCTATGTACAGTCTCTTTCCTTCCAGACCAATGCTGGAAGCATGTGAGGCACCTGGTCCTGCATCCTAGAGCCACTTACATTCACAGAGGAGGAGCTGCTGACTTGCAACCAAGAGTCATCGGAGGAAGTAAGAGTAGTGGGATATGCGCATGCTGCAGAGTCTGAAGAACAGTTGGCACTTGCCAGGGAAAGGAACTGGGGTATCCTTGAGTACTGAATGTCAGAGAGCAGTGTCTAGCTCCCTGCATGCTTCAGTGGAGAACCTGGCTAGAGTGGTTGATTTCTGAGGGAGTCTGCAACAATACAGACTTCTTTGGCTGTTTGTTAGTACATCTGGATGTGATTATTACACCAGGCACAGCACAGTCTCCTAAGGCATTTGGCAAGTGCTTCGTGCTCTGGTGGCAGCACAACCTCCCAATTAACTAGCCTCCAGTGCAATTGTACAACCTCCCTTTACTCCACCACCTCCACAAAATGAACCCCTACCACCAAGAGTGGGGGAGCCTAGTTGCCTGCCCATCTGCCAGCAGAAGGAGGTTTGGGCGGGGGGGAACCTCACCGTGGATACACCAGGGAATGATCAGAAGATCGCTAGGCTTTGTTACCCCTGTGATCTCTTTCTAATTCCAAGATCCATCTTTGCAGTTCTTCCCCCACTTTTCTTTCTGTACCCCCTTCCTCATACTTTTAATTAGACAAAACTGCTTCGGCATCACACACCTTTGATTGTGTTTCTTTGGCCAAAACTCTTTCCACTCTCTGCAGGTATCTGGCAGTTCCTAACAGGCAGCCTCTGCAGCATTGACCCTGGCACCAAATCAGCCCCTACTCACCCAAGGTGTGCCATAGAATGACCTATCTTTTCTGTGGTCAACTCTTATGCGTATGCACGTAGTTTGAAACTCCCTTCAATGCAGCTAGCCTCCTGGCCCCACTAGCAGTGGCCCCCAAAGGTGCACCCTCTCCCCAAGGTACATAGCTACCTTGTACTCCCATCAGTCACCATTTTGAAACCCCCCATAAGGGATTCTTTAACTAAGGTGCATAACTCAGTGTTTTGATACCAATCGGGATTCGGAAGTCCCAGACAGGATGTTTTGGAATTGTCTTTATAGTTCTGATTGATTGAAGTTTGAAGAAAATGATAGTTTCTTTACTAAACTGGATGTGTGTGACATATTTCTTCTTTTTATAAAGTATGTGAAGTTTACAGACTTATGACTGAGAGAAATATGTGAGAAGAAGTCAATAAGTTACAACATTTCATCATAAGTCAATTATTTTGATGAAGTGGCTGGTATCTAGAATTCAGTGAAATTTTTCACTGCTATGTCAAAGATCCTACATTGAATAGTTTATTCTGCAGTTGTGGTCAAATAATTAGTTATTCTCTACAATAATGTTCTTTTAATGTTGTTTTTATAACTACTTCTCAGGCATAAGGTTTAATCTACAAAAGATTGTTCCATGCTGAGCAGAATGTTCTTTATGTACTTGTTCCCTCTAGTAGACCTATAAGGGTGTTGGAAATGATGTTTCCATTTGGGAACATAGGAATTGCCATACCTCATCAGAGCAGTGGTCCATCAAGTCCAGCGTCGGGTCTCCAAGGGTATGTCTACATTGCAGCGGGGAGGGTGCTTCCTAGCTCTGGTAGACAGATGCACTAAAAATAGCAGTGTAGCCAGAGGCAGCATGGTGTGACAGTTTGGGCTGGCCATCCGAGGGCGTACCCAGGGGTTCTGGGTGGGTTTGTACTCAAGCAGTTCATCCAAGATCCTGTCCATGCTCCCCTGGGCTACATTGCTGTTGTCAACTGAGCTGGGAACCACACTCCCCGCTGTAGTCTAGACATACCGTAAAAGTGGCCAGCACCAGATGCTGCAAGAAACCTTTTATTGGAGATTTATGGAATAACCTGCCCGTAGGGAATATTTCATCTGAGTGCTCATCAGTAAAGTGTTTGGTTTAGACCATGAAGCATGAGAATTTATGCTGTATTAAAATAGAAATGATCCTGTGTATTGTAACCGTGGATGTTCTCTCTGTCTCTCCATGTTTTAATTGTACTATACTTTTGGGCTCAATGATATCTAGTGGCAATGAGTTCCACAGAAGAACCATGTACTTTCATCTTTTTGTCAGTTTTAAAATTTGCCTTTCAATTTTGTTTCCCCATGTCCTGGTATTATGAGAGAGAGTAAATAGGAGTCCCTGTTTACCTTCTCAATACCATTCAATATTTTGTTATACCTCTACCGTGTCCCCCTTTCATTTGTCTCCTCTCAGAACTAAACAGACCCAGTCTCTCACATCTCTTCTCATATGGAAGTTTCCCCATGGCTAATTTTGCATTCCCTGTTTCTTGAGCTCATTCTGTTTCTGCTAAGGTTTTTAAGACAGGGTTCTAAGTACTACAGTGTTCCAGATGAGGGAATTCCATTGATTTATTTAATGGCATTATAACATTTTTTAGTATTTTCTATCATATTCTTCATACATCCCACACTTGTTTGTTATTTTTTCCACTAGCTAATACTGTCTGCTAATGTTGAAAATTCTCAGTCATCTAGCTATTCAGTGATTCTTTGTCAGGGAGAATTCACTTGACCTTTCCTTGTTTATTATTTTCTAGGAAATGTCAGACCAAAGAGGCTGCAGTTTTTTGAGTGACAATTCAGTAGTTGATTATAGGTGTGGAAGATTGCATCTGTTCCGCCTTCAGTGTCACAGCTAAATCCGTGTCTCAATAATATTCAGTCCCCCGCTTAAATAGTCATACGATTCTAGTACAAGCCTATTAATTAGTCTGCAGTACAAGGGTATGTTTGCATCTCAATTCTTTGCCTTCTCAATTATTTTGGAAAAAATGGATTAGGTTCCATGTATATCAATGGGAGTGACTAGAAAATAAGCTTTTTATTCAACCTTGTCCCTAAGAGTGTGCCCTGAACTATAATAACTTATTCTATACGGCTATAGTTTTAAAATATTGTATTTCTATTTGTACAGGTATAGAGAAAAGATAGGGCAAGGGATTGAAATGGGGCAAAGGTAGGCTTTGCTTAATATAATTAAAAATAAACGATAGATGAAGCATAGTTTTTTAAAATGTTTCTTTGCTGAACATTATGTCCCTGATATTTTATACATTTCTGATATAGTAAGTAATGACTAAAGATGTATTGTAATTTCAACTGAAATTCTGGTACCCTTCTAGGCAGGAAGAGCAGCCAAGGCCATTTTTACTCCATCCATGCTTGAGGAACTCTGACGAAGAAGTAAGATTCCTGCAATCATGTTCTCAAATTCTGGTGTATTGTCTCCTACCCTCAAAGGATGCCCAGTCTCTCAGCTTGCGCATAGTCCTTGCAGACATACTTGCAACAAAAGGTAGATTATAGATCAGAGATAATTAATGACTTACCTACTACAGTACTAGTGATTACAAACCATTTAATATACTTGTATTGATATCACATTTTAAGTTCTAAAATTAAACTTCTGTCACAACTTGCACATGCAGAGACTGGTACGGTTAGTATCTTATAGATGTACATGAGACACTTAAAAATTCATAACATTAGCTAAGTAAGGGTAAGGCACTGAACTCTCTTGTGCTGATTTAGCAAGGCATTTCATTATGTGTTTAAGCACATGAAGTCAATAGGGCTACTCACCTGCTCAAAATTAAGCCTATACTTAAGTGCTTTCCTGAATTGGGGTCAGAGTGCTCAGCACCTTGTAGCATGGAGCCATTCCATCCTCTTATTCTGTTCTAGAGGAAACCAAACCTTTCTACACTGCAGTGACCTTCTGGAGAGCATTTGGGTGATCCTAAATGTTTATACCTTACTCAGATAAGTAAAATTCTAGACTAAGGATTTGAACATGACTGAAGCATGATATAAGATCTAAAAAAAACCCCAATAACTATCCATTTATTTATTGAGAATTTTAGTTCTTATTTATAAAATGCACTTTTAATTGGATGATGAGACCACTAATCACTCTGTCCTTTTTTGAATTTGGAGTTGGGGACAATTTTTGATACTGCAAAGTTTTGGGATCCAAGAAATCCCCAAATAGTACAGTTCCTTTTTTTAATTCCTAGTTCTGCACCTTCCTAGACTCTACTGTGTAACGTTCTCTGAGATACACAGCAAGAAGAGTGGAAATAGACACCTGAAATATTTCAGTTTAGGTTCAGCTGCTTTAACATGTGTAAACTTTTTAATAACCTGAATTTCCAGTTTTCTCAATCCTAATGACAGCTTACAGTAATGAATAGAGAAAATAAAAAGTTTAGGAGAAGGGTAAACTTCAGTCTAAAATGAGTGATACACTATGTAATCTGGGAATTACGTAGTAATTTCTTGGAATTTTATCAACCTGCTTTGTTTTAATTTGTGTCCAAAATGTTACACTGAGTTTGTTTGAGTTTGAAGATGACATTTGCTCTTTTGCACAGTGATTTTGTTCTTAAATTTCTCCTCCCAGTACTGAAGCCAGTGGTGGAGCTGCTGAGTGATCCAGATTATGTCAACCAAATGCTGCTCAGCCAGATGGAGTACAGAGAACAGGTGAATGAGCATCACAAGAAAGCCTACACATATGCTCCTTCTTATGAGGAGTTCATCAAGCTCATTAACAGCAACTCTGACGTTGAGTTCCTGAAACAACTAAGGTATCCGATGTTCATTTATAGAATGTTCAAAACTAAGCATGCTTCTCCTGCCAGTCCATTGCTGAGACCTGAGTGAAGTGTGATTTCAGTGAAGTGCAGAGAGGAAATATAAGCCTTAACATTTAATAAAGCTGCAAAATAAGCTACTTTCCCTTTAGTCGGCAGGAAATATTAAAATTATTCCATTATAACTGGCTAGTGTATATTAAAGTCTCCTCAATCATTTAAAGACATATAAGAACCTTGTATGCAGCATGCCCATGATCAAAGGAGTCAGCGAGAAATAATGTGTTGACTTTCCGTTACTATGTAATGTCTTTTTAGTAAATTGCATCTCTAACAAATACATCAAGTACTTCCTTTTGGGCTGGCCAGTTCTGTAATGTGACGTTTAGGGACTGGGCTGTAGTGTGTGTGACGACCTCCTAGGAGGTTTTGAGGAATTCTTAGAGGCAGATGGCTCCCAATCATTCCCTCTTGAATATATCTCAGGTTCTGCGTTTGGAGGCCATCATTTAACTCCTATAGAACTAAATAAAATAATAAGATCTTATATGGAATGAATATTCCCTTTCTTCGTGTTCTGTGCTGTGATACCAAGGCACCTATCTAATATTCTTCCTTAATACCTCCCCATTTTTTCTCTCCCTCTCCTTCCTAAAACTTGGAGCATGGCTTCTCTTTTCACCTATTCCTTCCCTCTTCCTTCATGATGCAAGATAACTCCTATGTTCCTAACCTGCTTGTAAGCACCAGAAGAGGGATCCCCACAAAGGGCCAGCAGTCTCCCACTTGCCTAGAACAAATGCCTATTCCAGGTTTCATGTTAGTTCTTGCCCATCTGATCTGCCTCCCTTTTGTTGCTTTCTATCTTGAGGAAAGAGTTGGGAATCACTAGCAAAGGTAAATGGGTTATGTTGGAACTGCATGGTGTTCCTGGCATTGGGGAGGGTGTCAGGCTGCATCTTTGACCTTTCTAGTGTTGCAACCTGTCACACTTCCCAGTGGCCAGTTGTGTTTCCCAGCACAGTTCTGTGTATCAGTACCTCCAGGTGCTGAAATAAGCCAGTTCCCAGGTGTCTTCCGACCAAGAATTAGCAAGTTTCCTAAGGGTGTCATCACTGTCATCATTGCCATGAATCTTTTTTTTTTAGGGACCAGATTTTTAAACCAATTGTCACAATTTGTAGCCTACAAGTGATTCTCTGACTAAGCCAATAAACAAGGCTGATGGTAAAACTAGGATAACTCAACAAGTCGTCCTGCAAAGATGGAAAGAATAGTATGAGTCCACATGTAACCATCCTGAAGCAACTTGATGTCCAGATCTGGATGCATTCGCAACAGATGCAATCCCTGGCCCTGAAACTTGTGGAGATGCACCTGTGTTGGAAGAGATTTGCTCAAGCATATAGAAACTGCGAAGCAGGCATGCTGCTGGACCTAACAACACAACACCCAAACTTTTAAAGTGTGCCATTGAGCCCATTACGTCAACTTTTTTGTCCAGAGTTGGACTACTGGGAAGATACCAGCAGAGTGGGAGGAAGGGATCATCATCCTGCTCTATAAGGGGAAAGGTCCATGCACTGAATATTGTAGCTATAGACCAATAACTCTACTCTCTGTCCCTGGAAAAGTCTTTGCGTATGTCCTACTCACCTGGCTCCAGCCTTTCCTTGTGAAACACCACTGCCCAGAGCAATAGTGCTTCATTCCTGGCTATATACAATGGATGCTATACTTACCGTTGTCTTTTTTCTGAGATCCATTATGAATGTAACTGGCCTTTGACAGCAGCATATGTAGTCTTAAAGGCAGCCGTTGATTCTGTCACTAGAACTGCCTTGTGGAAGGCCTTATGGGGCATCAGGGTTCCCAACATCCTTCTGACGCTAATTCAAGATCTGCATAATGACTCAGAGCACGGATAAATTGCGGGACCCATAGGTCTTACAGGTGTCACAGTAGATCTGGGCTGAAATAGGGATGAGTCCTGGACCCAGTCCTGTTCTGCTGTGCAATGGATTGGCTCATTGAGCATATCTCTGCAAATGTAGGTATAAGCATTGGTTTAACCTATTTTAATGACCTGGATTATGCGGATCATGTTGTCTTCTTTGGTCAGGATGCAGATGTCTCAAAGACACACTAAAGAGTTTCCAGCATGTGGCAGCTGCCCTTGGATTATGAGTTTCTTGGACAAAAACAGAAATCCTGAATGTCAGTGCAAAAGTTGCGATACAAGTCATGTGCTTCCAGTTAAACTGTGATAAACATCCGATGAAGTGAGCTGTAGCTCATGAAAGCTTATGCTCAAATAAATTGGTTAGTCTCTAAGGTGCCACAAGTACTCCTTTTCTTTTTGCGAATACAGACTAACGCAGCTGTTACTCTGAAACCAGATAAACTGTGGAAGCAGTGGATGATTTCATCTGTGTAGGCAGTAAACTATCATCTGATGGGTGCAGCCAACCAGACATCCTAAGGAGAGTTGGTTCAGCCATCTTAGCCATGAAGGGCATGCGTAGGGTCTGGTGCCAAAAAAAAAAAAGGTGAAACTATGTACAAAAGTACGGATTTATCAAACCTGCATACTTCTGATTCTTTTATATGGATCTGAAAAAATGGATGTTGCTTAAAACAAGACATCAGGAGGCTGGAGGCATTTCATGTGCATTGCCCGTGACAGCTACTGGGTATAAGATGGTTTGACTTTATCTGTAATAGGGATGTATCAGTGAGAACTGGCCATCAGAGTACTGAAGTCATCATTGGCTGCTGCTGGCTGGTCTTTTTTGGTCATGTTGTATGTCTCAGAAGCAAAGCCCGAGCACGTCTATCTTCAGAGCTCAGAATCAAGGTCAGGAAAGGACACTGCCCAGTCATGCGGTCAGCAATTAACTGGGCTTCACCAGCTCAGCAATACCCTGTAGAGCTCTTAGATGCCTAGAATAAATGTGTGGTCTTGGACACTTGATGCTACAGACCTCCTCTGTAGGTCTTTAAACATGTTGTTGTTGATTATCTCCCCTTTCCTGAATCTTGCACCCTTTTCTGCACTAATTTTTTCTGAATTACTTTTGTTTAATATTGGGTAGCACATCTTTTCTTCTGCACTTGCACTGGTGCTGCTATAGCAGAAGCTAGCCATTTTTGTTTGTGCTTTAGATTCTCTCTGCCATTCCCATGGAGTGAGCAACCACTATCTGCTTAAGATAAGGACATAGTTGTCATGTGACAACCACAGTGAATGGAAGCGTTACTTTGAAATGACTAAAGTGGGGTTATAAATGCATAAGGGGTGACGCCTCCAGAGGTGGATTTCAGGATATGGCCCTACTGGGCAAATACACTGCTTGACCCAATAGTAGGGCTGAAGTTGTTGGGAAATGGAATGACTGGAGAGGCAGAGTTAACCCGCTTTCTGCACACAGGCACCCATGTGCTTGCTGTACATATGCATGCACCCCTCCTGCTGGGTTTTTCTAAGGGATTCCCCCTTTCCTCCACTAGGGCTGTCAAATTCAGGGGGTTCCTCTCCCACTTTCCTTCTCTGCTGGGATTCTTGAGAATTCCTCCATACACACACCGTATTCTTTGTAGCAGTGGCTTCAGTAGGGTGGAGGATGGTTGCTGAGGGATCCTTTAAAGGCAGCTGTATCTTCCTGTGCCCATAGAGCCCTCTGCAGGGGAAGAAGAACTAGTGTTTCTGTCTCTGGGCAGTGATCAAAAGTGTAGGTGAGAGAGGAGATTTGTCAGCAACTGAGGATGAGAGTGGAATGGAGACTGAGGTGTTCGGGAGCAGCACTAGGGCAGGCTGTATGGCTCTCTTAGGTACGTCTGTCGTCCCCTGGTAAGGAAGCACTGTTATCTCAATTTTACAGATACAGAGATAACTGAGGCACAGAGAGACTAAGCAGTTTGTCCCAGGACACACAGGAAGCATTTGGAGGAGTAGGAAATAGAACTTGGGTCTCCCACTTCCCAGGCCAGCATCCTAACCACTGAACCATCCTATCTCTCATCATCCTCATAGCACAGCCAATGTGAGAGCATTAACGTGTTGGAACACTGCAGAAGCAGTTTCCATGATGGTGTGGGTCCTGATCTGTGACTACTGAACACCCCTCCTGTTAGATCAATTGCCATCAGTCCATGTGCTTGGGTCTGAATAAACAGCTTTTCTTTTTTGTTCTCTCTTCATTTTCACACCCTGCTCTGAAACAACTTATATTTTCCAAAGAGGAAAATGCATTTGGTGAGAGAGTGAAATGATTTTGTTGCTTGGCTACATCTTGTTCATGTGCTGTAAAATTTGCTCTTTACTCCGGGCCAGCATGCTGTGCTACCGACAGTATAAATTACCCCTTGTTAGACTGTTGGAAACCTAAATAGACATGAGGTCTATTAGCGTAATAACACTAATGGAGCTGTTTGTTTCTGTTGAAACCTAATCCTTTTGTTGTTGTTCTGGTACAATTAATGTGCACTGTATTCTCTACTAGCTCTCTAGGTCCCTTTAAATTGTAATATCAGAAGGCAAACTCGCTGTATGAAGTACTGTGTCTTTTGTCTACATTTGTATGTTCACTTCCCAGTCTACAGAGTGGTGGACTTATATCGAGCTGTGATCTTGTAAGCTCCAAGCAAGGTTGGGTCGGATCAGAACCTGAATGAGAAGCCTCCAGGAAAATCTCAGCATTCTTGCAGGGACATGGTGTTTGTGATTCAGTAGGTGATACAGTTTCCTCAGGATCTGTGTAATACCAGTACCCTCGCTTGGTGTCCGAGTTATGCTTGCTACTGGAAGTGCAGTTTCCTTGCTATGTTTAATTTATCTGTCTGTTCCCATCCCCCTGATGTGAGAGCATCTGTGGAAGAGACTCTTGTGGCCATGTAAAGATTCAGTGGCACATTTTTCAGAGTAGGGTAGTGATTTGCCTGTGAATGTTCTAAGGGTTGAGGTTGGGGAGACCACACAAAGGTGTCTCTGTGGA